TTCCGACAAAATAAATGTACATCTCAGCTAATTGGAAAAAACATGTTTGGGAAAATTCCCAGCAAAATCGCAATGTATTTAGGATTGCCAAACCCATCTTCCTATACGGGACATTGCCTTCGTCGCACTTCTGCTACTGCTCTAGCTAATGCAGGAGCAACTATGACTAACTTAAAAAGACACGGAGGTTGGAAAAGTTCCACGGTGGCGGAGGGGTATCTGGAGGATAGCATCGAATTGAGAAATAAAACGGCGCGTATGTTGTCTACTTTGCCATTAGAAGAGGCAGGTACCTCGACTGTAGTGAACAGAAGCTCCAGCCATACAAAAGAAGAAATTGTTTCCAGTGGCGGTAGTAATTTTCAGGGAACATTTCAAAATTGTACATTTATTATTTGTAATGACGCAAATAAATAAAATATGGTTCAGTTTTCATTTCATAAATATATACACATATATGTATATTAGCATTTTTTATTTTATTTTTACTTGTGAAAGGTAGAGGGAATTATAGAATCTATAATGTCCCAAGGGAGTTATGACTCTCTTTATTGATAGCGTAACTATGACGATATAAGCTTATAATATCCCGGTCAGAAATTAAAATGTTTATTATTCGAAAGGGGTAAACATTACGATGGATATATAAAACATGGTAAATGATGGGGGAATTACTTAAGTCTTTGACGTTTAGAAGGCCCAGGTTGATCGTAAGTTTCCGGTACCGGACAAACTGATTCAACGTAATCTTGTTCACAAGCTTCAACATCAAGTTCCTCATCTGCTTCAACACAATCCTCATCACTGTCTCCCTCATCAATCTCAATTGGCTGAGTGTTAGTGCACGAAATTCCTGAACAGTTTTTGCAAACTAGTGCAATTCAAACCAGATTTTCTGCAGGTGCATGCACTATTGCATCCTTTCTTACAGCTGCAGTATATTAGTTGCAGCAAAGTCTTTGGTGCTGGATCGTTTTTCATTTTGTTCGGAATGAGGCCAGTACTGTCACGTTTCCATCCCCATTCTACTGGATCTAGATTGTTACCCAGCCAGCATTGCACTTGGTGGAATGTGCGGAACGCATGGTTTTCAGCTGCATCTTTTGTAGGTGGCAATCTGAGTAGGCTGATCTTTGTTTTTGTACTCATCTTGACAAACATCTGGTATCTAATATCGTTGATTCCCTGACTAGTGCTCACTCCAGGATTGTACAGTGCCATAAAAAGTTTCTCTCCTGTACGGTTGATTTCGTCTTTGGTTGCTTCAGACTTGTAGAATACTGAAGCAAGTTTCTTGAGCTCAAGGTTCTTCTCAATAAGGGTACACAGTTTGGTCTTTCCATGGCCGAATGGGGATGAGGTTGTATCACAACCACTGAATGCATGTGCAAACAGAATGTAGTGAGGGTCATACTGATATGATGACGTTGAAAAATAGGAGTCACCTTTGCCACTTTTCCCCGGCTTGAAGAAGTATATATTTTTGCATGAATTTTATTTCTAAAAGTATATCAAATGTTTATAAATACGTTGTTTAAAACGTATAATGCGCAGCTTGTCACTTAGAAGATAAATTTTCCGAATAAGTGGAAAAAATGTCTATGCTGAGGGTAAGACTTGCCCACAAAAAGTTTTCCCCAGGTCGTACGAGGTCGCAAACTTGGTTTTACACTACCCACAGCTTACCGAACAAGATTAAAAAAAAAACCTTTGACCCTATTTTTTGTAAGGTGAACCCTTCTCACATTACGCATATACTGGACTATTTCAGAATAATCGCAAAAAAACGATTTAAAATTTTAACTTTCAACACCCTGTATTTCCGAAACTATCAACTTTCGGATAAGGCATGTTTGCGCCACTGGTCACCATTTCACGTGTAGTATCTTCAGCTTTCGATTTTCCCATTGTTAATGAATCACCCTGTATTTTACGTGCTTTTATTAAGAATATTTTTAAAACACGTCTGAGTTCATAAAGAAAAAGTAAACTGTTTTTATTTTGGTTTTATATCTCAATAATATCTGCAATTAGCAAGAAATACATTTAAAAACAGTGTACATGAACAAAGCTCATCATCAATGACTGTGGCGTTTTAAAAACATATCTGAAAAACAAATTCCCTTCAACATATGTATTTATAACCGTTACATAACCTAACCTATTAAATGCTTAAACAATTAAACCATTTCTAAACATTTAAATTAAGGTAAAATGAATTAGCAGGTGCACAATATAAAATCGAAAGGACCCCGCTCACACCTTATTAAAATTGGTGTTTCGGTGAAATTTCCTGAAAAATTAGTATGTTATCCCTGTTTTACTACTAATCAAAAGTCTTCATGGCCAAACAGTGAAAAATTGATTCACTCTCAAATATAATTTTTTTAGCATATAATGTAGCAAATATCACTTCGTTGACATATAATGTAGCTTGTTTAACAATAATTAGCGTATATTTGATAGGAAGCTGTAAAATGCTCTCAAATAAAGAATAACGACAATTACCACTAACATTAGAGTAACCCGATGGACACCACGAGGAGGTTGTCAAGTCGAATTTTGCACATAATTTTGCTCTGAAAAGGACAGTTTGTTTGTGTGTATGAGCACGCCTGCGTGTGCGTGTGTATTTTCAATAAACACACGAAATTCCGTACATTTTTTTTAATACACATGAATTTTTTTATCTTAATATTAGAGGAGAAGGTCCGAATATGGGCCCCTATTTTGTTTTTTTTTATAGATTATTAACAAATTTTTTGACAAATACACCTAAAAATTGGGAAACACTTAGATCAAGAACTCGTCTACAATTATGAGCGCGTCAAAGTTCCAGAAAGATAAAAAATACTGAGATATCAGTTAAAATATGAAAATGGAACAATATCTTGTATGAGGGTAGAGTGTATGAAATATGGGCTCCTATCAAAAATTATGCAAAAGTTTACGTTTAACAAAGGAAACTATTTTCTAGTAAAAATGATTATACAAAAGAGTAATGGCAACAACAGAAATTGAAAAGAAAGAAATTGTTTGCAAAAGTCACAAATGTAATTTTTTTGTTATTTACGCTATCCATAGCCTTTATCATGTCTTCGGAATTCCATTGTTTCCTTAAATTCTTTGGTGAAAACTTTGGTTTGTTACGTGGCATGGTCAACCTGGAAAAATAACTGAATTCAAAATCAAGGGAAAATATAGGCCCTGGCCCATATTCGGACCCACAAAAGGCCCATATTACCGGCATTGCATGTCATTCAACAAACGATACCTATTAATTGTAGAGTTTAAGTGAATCAAAATATTTTCTGAACAAAACAAACTTTGATCTTTATACAAAATATCTACGTGAACATACAAACATACCTAGTCACTAAAAATCGTATAAAACATAATAACAACTTACCTTCAGATAATATTCAGAATTCCAGTAACACATTCACCACCACTTGTTTCTAACAATATAAGAAATCAACTGCACAATGTCGGTAAAACAGTTCGCTACTAGGTAGTGTCTTTTAAAGTATTATTCAGTGATGCCGCTAGATGTTCTAGTAGGAATAGCCCTGGGGCCCATAAGTACATGGCCCATATTCGGACCTTCTCCTCTACCTAACGATTTTTATTTATATGATTTTATATTACTCATTACATTTATAAACATATTTTCTATTCATATTTTATTTATATTTTATATTTAATCTGTATATTATTGTTTCAATATAAATATTATTTTACTTGTAAATCTGTAGGATTATCTGATTTAGTTGACGAATTTTACTAAAACATTATGAGATTAAAAATGTTATGTTATATTAATATATTTGCAAAATTATGTCAACAAAATTATATTAATTTTTCACTATTCTTAAAACTTTTGTGGGCCCTACCGCCTACAGATGGGCATTTGGAACTTCATGGCTATGAACACATTTGATCAGCAATAAAAAAGGACACATGAATTTTTTATGAAATTTCACCGAAAGACCAATTTCCATAGGGTGTATGCCACGTCCTTTATTATAACAATACTCATTGTTAACTTTCGCACTCTAATATTTGCTGTACGTCAACGAATTCGTTTTTCTCCATTGCTTTTCTGGTACAGTAAAACAACAGTTTAAAAAAGCTAATCGTTTCTATTTTTATTTGGACTGACATTTTTAATCACATGCAATGGTCGGACTGGTCGCTGAAGTCGTTCAGCGTACAAATATTTCATTGGTCAGCCCAATCAGTTGAATATTGGGCAGGTTTTAATAACAGTTACTAAAGGCCGTTCAGCGAAATGTTTGACTAAAGAAGTTTCACCGAACTAGTCCGATCATTTCGCTGAACACAGCCTTAAATTGCAAATAAATGAATAATAAAAAAGATATGAGCTAATCATGTTCAAGAAGGAGTTCTTTGAAAAAAATCTTGCGGTTTTCGATAGCCCTTTTTTGAAAAACGCCCTGTATCCCTGAAGTAGAAAAAATAGTAATCTGCGGTTTGCGTCATTGATTTTCTATTAACTCCTATAATTTTCTAGATAACCCAATTGAATTGGATGCACTATGTACAAAACTGGTTGACATTTAATAATAAAATAAAAATGGTACCCGATTATTCTATCAAAGATTAGCCCAAAAATCGGTAGGGTCGGTAGGCCCTAAATTCCATTCATAAGCGAAACTTGACAAATATCATTAATTAAGGGACAGTCAAAAGCCGACTGGCATCAACCTTTAACATTAATTAAAGCAACGTTCTTCTATTCTAGATGACCATGACCAACCAATCCAAATATGGATCCAAATATAAACTTTTTAGTGGATATTTCTTTATATTGTTAGAGAACGTAACTTTTGTTGATGAAAAAAATACTGCGAGCGAAAGCTAGTTCCCAGTGCGATTAAAAATAAAATGTCCTTAGTAAAGAGAACTCTTGACGCGTTTTTTGTGCTCATACTCAGCTATATTCTTTTCAACTTCATTAAATAATACATATTTTCCAGGGAATGTTAGAAATCGATAGATGTATTAGCTCCCCGGTACTTGATAGGCCATCCAGTACTCAGAGTAGTAGATCGTCAACCCCTTTTGCTCTTCCTTTTCCAACATTGCCCACATCGCTGTTAGAGGTTGGTCTTATGCATCCAGCTCTTTTGGGGGAGGAAATGTTCCGATGTTCATCTTGTATGGCAGCATTTCCTAGTTTATGGCTCTTGGAACAACATACAACTCTTCAACATATAGGATCTATAAGTTCAATAGACAAGCCCTTCGTATGTGAACAATGTGGTCAAAGTTACAGATATAGATCAGCGTATGTCAAACATAGAGAACAAAACCATCGAGCCCGTTTACCTGCAGATAAACTATTTTCATGCGACGTATGTGGAATGCAATTTAGATATCTCAAATCTTTTAAGAAGCATAGACTTAATCATGCACTTGAAAAACTTCATGGGAAAACAAACGATATGCTTAAGGAAGTTAGGACAGAATCTAGCAGTGAAAACATCAAAACAAATCATGAAAATAGTAACGATCAAGTATCTAGTTCTAACGAGACTATTACTGTTGAAGAAGAAAATGATGTGGTTGTTAAAAAAGAGGACCTGACTGATGACATTACAGGTAAGTAATCAAAGTAACTGAGAATTTTAGAAATTAATTAAGTACAGCGATTTTTATGTAAAGCCTTAAAATATGTTGAACATTAAAGTTCAACCAGTTTCAGAAGTTTTTCGAAAAATTCAGTTATTACAATTAATTACGTACCTACTTAATACACATAATTAGGTAACTGCCCATAAATTCTATCTCTATTATACGATTTTTTTAGAGCGCATGCATATCATTCTTTAGCTAAAATAGGGAGTAGGTAAATGTTAATCCTATAGGCCAGGGCAATTAAGGTTGGAGGCATTGTGTGCTTTGAAGTGACTTGTTTTATAGGTAGTTTAAAGGGTACCTATACATGAAAATATACTGTACCCGTAGTCTCAAATTGCTGCGCAGTATTAGTTATTGACAATAAAAACTAATTTTAATGAAAAATCATCTTTTTACTTGTATCTTTGTTCCTATTGGTCGTACAGAAAAATGGAAAAATACTTTTTTTTCTTTAAAAAACCTACAGAACTTGCCGTACGTCTAGCTAAAATCACAGTTTTTATTGTTAATAATTAATACTGCGCAGCAACTTGAACTACGGGTATAGCTATCTTCATAGCTATCTTCATAATAAAACAAAAATCAGTCACTTCAAACCATAGAACGCGAAATCGCCTTTTTCGGCCTAATTTCACTGGCCTATTATATTATAATAATTTCTATAAACACACTCCTAATCCTAAAACACATTTAACCTAAATATAAGACAATATATGTATAACTTTATTTGATGGGGATGATAAGTTGCAACAAAATATAATAAATTATAATATTCTTAATATCTTGTCCTTAAGTAATATATGTCGTTATCTAACTAGGTACTAACTGCATGGTCAAATAATATTAGTCAAATAATGATTAAAAAGAACGAATAACATTTTTTTAGGCATACCTACCCGTATAAGCTGTTTTCATAAAATGATTATTTACCTGCGGTATAGAATTAAATCTACCTATTGGATTAACTGAGACCGTGGTTCACACAAGTTTCAAGAAATTTAGGAAAATTGTATTTTAACAAAAAAAACTATAATGTTTTCAGTGTCAATACATAATATATTCATATTTAAATTTGACCATCCTCTTGGACAAAATGAGTTTTTATAAAGTAATAATATCAAACTTCCCGCCCTAAGAGTTTTAAGGCCCGGTACTTTGAGTCTCGCTGATACACTGATTTATTTTATAAAGTAGTCTAATCGCCTGATTAGTTAATCAAGCCTTAATCGAGACTCAAAGTATCGGGCCTTAATGGGTTAGATGATACCTCATTTGAATTATTTGCTACATTTTGAGAAGTTTTTTAATTTTGACAAATTAAAAATGAGAAAGCGAAATTCAAATTAATTGGAAAATTATTATAAAGTTGTCTGTGACAAGAGGTGAATGTGACAACATAACAATTTAACTTTGAATGTTACTCATACCATGTGTGTAGAAGACATTGAAATAGATAAATCATGGGTGGTCCTCTCGCATAGTAACTAGCTAACTCTGGTGGTTCTACTGACGAATGATCTTAGCTGTTTACTAGATATTGCGGGTGTAATTCAATGTTGATCGAAGCGTCAATCCACAGAATAGTTGTTTCTCACCATATCGTTATTAGTAATATTTCATGTGACCACATAAAAATTAATTTGCCTTACCAATTTGTTATGAACTCACTATGCAAAGTTTGCAAGGTGGTGAAGTTTTCGTTAATGCTACTGATGTCAGTAGTAGTGTGTTTACGATGTATAATGTATTTTCTCCCAAATTGTTATTGCGATACATCCTAGAAAAACAAGATAAAAATTAAAAAAATATAGGAAAGTAACATCACGTTCCAGACAACCAACAAGAACAAGGTAGTGTTGTGTATATGCTATTTTATAAAGTTAATGATAGTATGATATATGAATGAATTCCTTTTGTTACTTGATCTAATGTTGAAAAAATATATGTCAAATTAAACTCCTGGACAAAATTAACGCACCACTTTCTTTATTAAGCTTAAATAATACATAATACATATGCGAAAAAAAATTAAGGTAAATTATAATAAAAATATAAATATGAGTTGATACAATTACATGAGAAAGAAATCTGCCTAACATGACCTAATTTAAAATCAAACATTTATTTTGTCGAAAACGAATTAGACACGAGTATAAATCAAACATTTAAGAAACCGAAAGCAATAGAAATAATGTATTCAATGTGACGTTAGTACCTTGTACGTCCTCCTCTGGTCTTAATTACCGCATTCATACGCTATGCTAGCAATTAAATTTCCAATGATATCCTGGGGAATATTCTCCCATTTTTCAGACCTCAGACCTTCTTTTTAAGATGGTTCCATAAATACTCAATAGGGTTGAGATTGGGACTGTAAGGTGGCCATTCCATTAACGGATTATTAACAGCATGCAGGTCCAGCCACGTGGGGAGGCGCATTGTATTGCATGAAAAAAGAATTAGGACCCACAAAAAGAGCAAATGGCATTACGTGTTTAAGTATGATATTTTCCAAGTAGTAATTCGCATTCATAGACCTCGCACGTATAGGGATCAACTCTATACGAGCGTCGAAGCAGATGAACCAAAAATTTGCCGGTATCTTGCTCCTTAATTTCGTCTTGATTTAAACGTCTTCTGATTGTTGGAGAAGATATTACATTATGAACCAGTAATAGTTCGTTTTTTAACACATTTCTAGTGATTCTCCGGTTTCCAAGAGCAGATTGTTTCAGAAAACAGTCAACTCTTTGATTGGTACATCGTCCCTTGTCCTGGCCTTCGAACGTAAATTCCTGTTTCGTTAAATCTACCATGCGACTTAATATGAAGGAATGATTTTTTCCTAACCCACCGACGACATAACGCAGCGAGTATCCATCATTCGGCAGAGTTGATGTCCGTACTGCCCCCTCCACCGACAAATTTGTTGATTCATTTTCCTACTGTTATACACTCCTAAATAAACTTTAAAGCACGTATGTGATAAAACCGATAATAAAAATTAACTTAATAACTTGCCCTAATCAGTAGTTTCTGAATAAATTTTGATAGGCCAGTCAATATAGTTTTTTTGTATGGCAAAACTACTAACAGCGTGCCAACTGTGCCATCATTTAAACGCCAGTCCGTAGATATACTCTGTGTTTTCGACTAGCAACTGTCATTAATTAATTTGTTATTAATATTTTAGTCCAAAAAGACGCGTTTTTTTCTTAGTTTTTTGCATATAAAACCAAAACTACTAGAGCAGTCTCAATTCCGTAAATGGAAAAGTTGTAGGAAATTAAATTTCGAAGAAAATGAGAGTTCGAGCGATTTGATCCGTTAATTAGAACGGGAGAAAATCCGGAAAATTCGGAATTTTTTTCAAAAATTCATAACTGTCATTTATGAAGATTAAGAGCTGAAATTTGGCACAGAAGTAGATAGTTATATCAACTTTAAGTGTGCAGGCGCTATCGGACTATTAGTTTTTGCACAATTACAATTTCCCACAACTTTTTCATTTACGGAATTGAGATTGCTCTAGCAGTTGGTTTTATAAGCAAGAAACTAAAAAAGAAATGCGTTTCTTGCACCAAAATGTTAATAACAAATTAATTAATGTGAGTTGCGAGTCGAAAATACATCAGAGTATATCTACGGACTGTCTTTTAAATGATGCTGTTAGTATTTTTGTCAAGATATTACTTTTTTTTGCTCTATTGATTGGCCTATAAATCAATTGTGACGAAACGTGATTAACTCACGTTTGTAATTGTAAAACAAAACAGTATGTACTTGAATTGTTGGAGGAGGTCCAAAGCCTACTTGTAAATCAGTTAGTAGATTGAAAGTTATCACTATCTCCAAATGTTTTTAAAAAATGTTAGTGGGGTGTTAATTTTGTCCATGAGTTTAGTATAGGATATAATAATTAAATACAATTACAGACCAATTACTTTTTTAGCAGAAGGGACATCATCAGATGCTGAGAAAACTGAGGCAGAACAGGATGACACAATTGACTCTATGGCGTTTTCGTATCAAGGAGCTACCACGAGCAATGCTGATTTGTTACGTAATGCTCAGGAAAGCTCAATAATAAATTTTTTAAGGGCTGATTCTGTGGAAAGACAGAGGGAAAGAAGATTTGCTTGTCCATTTTGCGGGAAGTGTGTCAGATCAAAAGAAAATTTGAAATTGCATGTAAGAAAACATACTGGGGAAAGACCGTTTGTATGTCTGTTTTGTGGTCGAGCATTTGGTGGTAAGAGTGACTTAACGCGCCACTTACGTATTCATACTGGCGAACGGCCTTATCACTGTGATATGTGTGGAAAATGCTTTGCTAGAGCCGATTATCTCTCAAAGCATCTAACTACACACATAAATACTCCTCGCTAATAGGCTCCAATTCTGTAACATCAATTTTGCAGGTTACTTTATATATTTCTTTTTTTTTCAGCTGATATAATAAAATATATGCCAACACCTATTCAGTTGAAATACATATATTCAATAATATATATGTCAACACATATTCAGTTTTCTATTAATAGAAAGTAATATTTTAATAAAATACTAAGACCGCAACATAATAGATGGTATTTTTCTTTAGTAAACAAAATAAAATAAATTGAATTGTGACAATAAAAAATAACTATTTTATAAAATCTGTTTTAAAGTTTGATACAAAAAGAGTAAAATCCTCTAACAATACAGTCTTCATAAACAATTACAGGCCAAGTTTAGGCAACCCAACATCGCACAACTGGTAGCGACTAAATCTTAGCGTACCTAATCAATATTATTGATTCGTTTACAATGAACAAAGACAAACCACTGCGTCTACGCTTGACATAATGCGATCGCTGATTCGTTAAATAAAATCATGTGAAAAATTACACCAATCACCAGCTGGTGAAACAAAACGTGTTTTATTGTAATCTTGTCTTATTGTTTTAATAACTTTTATTTTTATCAAAATTTTATTGCCAACGTGAAGAAAATAAAATTACTAATCACGTGGCTTGTAATAATTTATGAAGGCAATTTATTAGAAATTCTCATTATTTGTTTACAAACTTTATGCTTATCACTGTAGTTTGCATATATTTTGTCATATTAGCTTAATATTATTTTAAAGAGGAGATAATATATAATTCAAAATTTTATTGATGCACTTTTTGATATTATAATAATTTTTATTGAAAACATTTGCAACAATATAATATGTTGATATTTTGAATCGCTTTCTGCACACTTTTTCGTTACAAGGAAATATGTAGAAAAATTATAAAAGTATCCAGTAACTATTCACACAGTTTTTTTATATTTAATAGATTCCATGGATCTGTAATAATCATCGAGTCACATCGAAGCAATATCTTCATATTGAAATATTTCGAAAGATCTCCTACGGGCTGATTTTTATTTCTAATTATGTATGTTCGTGCTTAGCTTTGTTGTCATCGTTGTTCTGATGTTAACATCAACAAAGTTTTTTTAATAAGACATTATATATAAACATTTATTTTTGTAATCTCCAACACGAAGTAATTTAAAAAAGTTACACTTAGAACTAAAACTAATAATTAGAGATATAAACTTAAAGCTGTATCATTAGATATACTCTCTAGGTCAAGGAAAACTTTCAATTTTTGATTAAGTGTATTACCTACCTGCTATTTATCGATTTTGTCGAAAAAAGCATAAGAAATAAAAAAAATGGATTCGTTAAGTTCAAAGCTTACTAATTTCAAACATATCTTGTTCCTGTCTAGTCCAGGAAGATTTAAAAAACCTTCCAGATGTGGTTGTTGCTTGAGATATTAGTAAAAATCGCTCGAATAACATAAAAATGAAAATATAGGGCCGAAATTAATTAACAAATGGCTCATGCCAAAACTATCAGACCGATTTGGAATGGGTTTTGGGATTTCGTTTTGTAATACTTTAAAATACTTACATCCACATTTATAATAGAATTGGACAATTTCTTACCTGTCAGTTGAACGCTTTAAAATTACCTTTTTGGCTACCTATCAACAAAAATATAACATGTGCGAACAATTTCATTAGTAATGGTTATTTCTCTAAACCACATATTTAAAAACTTGTATTGGAAAATGTGAGAAAAAGTTTCTGCGTATTTCTGCACTCTTTAATTTTTCCTGCCATAACTTTTTCCCTGGCTAACTTATACTTTCATTGTATATATTATTTTCGATCGATTTTTACTAATATCTAATCTACGTCAAGCATGCAGTCATGTAGGTTTTCTGGACTAATCGTATTGATTTTAAATTTCAATGTAAGGAGTAGACAAGAGAAGTATGGATGTAGCGCATCCTAAAAAAATTCTCACTAACACCTGCAATTGATTAGATCATTTCGGTTTTCTAGATCACGTCATGCAATTTAAGAGACGGTTACTTACACTAGACAAATATGCCAAGTTGTCATTAAAGTACCAAAGCTGAATATTTCAGAACTGGATTATTTCAGGAAAAATGTTTCAAGCAAAAACTCTAACTCTATTTTTAATTTAATTGTATTTATTATTAGTAAATTATTATGGGACTAATTCTTTAATTCTATGGCCAAAAATATACTCGTATGTCAATGCAACATAATTATTACTGATGTCAAATACTTTTTTTTTTAAATAGATTGTAAAAGAAAAAATGTTTCAAACAGAAATTGTTTTTCCAGAAAATAGACTGTCAAAAAATGTAGCTTTGACATTGAAGGAATCAAATAGACATCTTAATCCACCTACAAAAATCAATGAAATTTAGATAATAGAATTAAACAAAAACATAAATATTAACAATCAATCATTTTATAGTAAATTTAATTAACAGTCAATTTAACATAACAGTCTTTTAACTTTAAATTTAAAGTCGCAATAGTACAATTGTGAAAACTGACTCCACTTGAGGATGGTGTCGCTCACTGCAATAGTTTCTTCATGAAGGCACTGAGTAATTTATTAAAGAAGCAACAAATTTGGGAGCAGATAAGATACTATTAGAAATTTCAACTTTATTTTCAATATAGACCAAATGATGAATGTTCCTTGAGTGTGAGTTTTTGGGTCTTGGAGTTTGCAATAATAATTTAATCCTTATCCTCAATAGCATGTAGTGATTCAATATTTCATTTCTTCTACATACCTCATATATGCCAAATATTAAAATAACCTGAAGCAATATAATAGCTTATCAACAAATCTATAAAAACAATAGTGAATTAATATGACTCACCTTGATTAATAAGAAGCCTTCATCTGTTGAAACTTCTAAGAATTTTTTAATATTCGCTTTTATTACACCTTTTCACTTTTTTGACGATATCCTTTCTATTTCAAATACGGTACTAATTTGGAATATTTCTTTATATTTCTATATCTTTATATCTATAGTTCACTGTTCTTTTCGGAATTGAATATATAGACCACTACGTTTTCGGCTGCACTCTCTCAATTTTATATTCAAAATATGCCACTATTACACTTTCAGACACATCTTTTGAATTTTTTAGTCATACCTTTCCAAATTGTCTTTGTAAGCAGATTCATATTGCCAGATCGATTTGCTGGGAAGATCTTTCATCACTTTCTGACAACTTATATATTTTTTTATTCAATTCCAATGACAAAATTATTGAATAAACTGCCAGCAACTCAACATTTAAAAAACGGGTGTTTTCTAAATAGAATTATTGATTGTTTACTAAAACTTGTTGCTTCGCTATCGTTACTGTCGCGCCAAAAAATATTTGATATAAAATATGTGCAATAAATTGTAAATGACATACATGTGAAATGTATTAATGTAAATGTCAAAATTTTCTCGTATTTTTAGTAAGTTTGAACTGTGGTATACAGTTTTCGAAAAAACGTTGTTTGATACTCGATTGTGAAATTTCTTTGCTTTCTTAAATGATTTTGAAATAGCATTTCGCAATCTAGCATCAAAAATAACTATAAAGGAGCCGATCAAACTATAAACAGTTTCCAAGCTAAATCTTTTGTATAAAACATTTTTTTTTGAAATTTCCGAAATATACAATATAATGTATACAAAATTATTAAAACTGAAAATTTGCTATTTTTGCAATTTTTTTACACGCTTTAATACATAATATGTCAGCTACTTCAAACGTGATTTTGGAAATTGTAATTTGGTAATTAACCATCAATAAAACAAATCTCTGAACATATTAACCTCTGAAAAGTTTCTAGTAGAAATTTATGCTTGTTATTATTTAATAACTATTTCAAAAGAAACACTCTGTATATGAATATTACTAATACTATTGCAATTAATTATGTACATACTATTACTACTCAATATATAGGTAGATAATATACCAAACAACAACAGATTTTGAGAGATACTAAATATAAAATATTAAGTATTTCAAAATGAAATGCTAATAATACGTGAAGCGAGACATGCTTCTTTATTTTTCCGTTGGAGTTAAATCAAAAACATATTAATAAATGTTGTAGAATCACATAAATGAAAAGCAATTCTATAATGTGGTAATTTTGGGTTCCTAAAAAATAACTAAAATGTCACTAAATTTTACATTAAATACAATAAAAATTAGAACATATTCTATTTATATTCCAAGCATCAGATTTACCTACTGCAAGTTAAATGATATCCTGTGAGTGTGCGTGCAATATATATTGCATGAAATCTTGCAATACATCGCTTAATATAACGCGGCTCTTAAACAATTTGCAAAGTCCCTGAATATGTCGAGCAATCCCCATTCATACTCACTCTATAAAATTACGTTTTGCAATTTTTTCTTTTAGTCGTCTGCCCTTCAGTTACGTTTCCCATTCCAATACGCTTTCATTCTGATATATATTACCATTTTTTAAAATAATCGTCTCATTTTATCATTACAATATTTATATTCAAATAATGCTTTATTTTTCGATACTGATTTTTAATAGTTTTATTATTGTTGTCCACAATAATTGGTCTCACATGCATCGAAAATAATACAATTACAACAATCAATTTATTATTATTTAACGATACATTGAGGCCGGCATACAGCATGCTGTTTACCGGAAGGCAAGCCTTCCGATTTTCAAACCGGAATGCAAAACGCAACATTAGTAGGGATATTGGCCGGAAAGCCTACCTTGAACTCTCGGCCTCCCGAAAAACTGCCAGCGCTCGAAATTTTGCCTTCCGGTTATGTTTTTCGGAACGTGTATGCCTGAGGAGTGAATACAGGCCGAGAGTTCTTAAACAGAAAGAAAGCAGTGTGAACTTTAAGAACAACAATTATTGTTTTGCAACTGAGATTTTAAAATCTTCATAGTTTCTTCCTGTTGCTAAATACATATATCAAAGCAGTACTTAGTCGTTCATAGGAACTGATTGCTAATCTCATTATAATATCTTCTTTTTAAGTAAGGCAGAAATAAATCAGAATGCACTTGTCAATTTATCACAGTGGCGGCTCGTCATATGAAGCAACAGAGGCCGGGCCTCACTGTATAATTTGGCTCTCACACCGTATATTTTAA